TATATATTATAAAAATATATATTAAAAATATATAAATATATATAGGACTTCGTTATTCAAGGATCAAGGTCCTGAGTTTTGAATACATTTCTTTTATTGATTCATTCCACAAATATTTATTGAGTCCAACAATATGCCATCACTATGTTGGGATTGCTTTATTTATTTGGCAAATATTGACACTATCTCTGTGCAATGTATTTACTAGAAACAGAGAATGGTTAGGGGTACAAGGAGGAACAGAGACATGGTGTCTGCCCTCAGAAGAGCTTACGGTCCAGGGGGAAATGCAGAACATGAGAGCTAGCAAAGTTTCAGGATGAGGATCTCCTCAGCTAAGTGATAAATACTATTGAATTTGGATTAGGCAACAAGCGTACAGAGTCTTGCCTATTATTGTGTGTACCTTCAAACCCAGTGATATTCAAACCTTTTGGTCTCAGAACTTCTTCACAGTCTTAATTAAGAAAAGAAAAAGAGCCTTTGATTTTGTGGATTATATCTGTCAATATTTATTGTATTAGAAATTAAAGCACACATTTTAATAACGTTTAGCTATTAATCCAGTTAAGAATAATGATAATAAATCTATTACATGTTAAATGAAAAACATTTTTTATTTAAAAACTACATTTTCCTAAAACAAGGCAAAGAAATTAGTGAGAAGAGAAGCATTGTTTTACATTTTTGTAAATCATTTTACTGTCTGGCTGGATTCGCATATCTGCTTCTGCATTCAGTCTATTGGTATACATTATTTTGGTTGAAGTATATAAAGACAATCTAGCTTCACACAAATATATGTAATTGGAAAAGGAAGGAGTATTTTAATATCCTTTTCATATAATCCTGAATATTCTTCTTTGATATTACTCCAAAACCAGCAAATGGTAGTTTCTAAAGTTTAATTGTAATGTAGGATCAGAAACCATATCAATGAACTTTTCATACTTGGTTACAATAAGGTTCATTGGTCTATCTTATACGGTCATTTTTTTAACGATGTGTGACTTTATAACACCATGCTTTGGTCATTTGGAAAATATTAATTCACTAAGTTATACAGATTTCCAAATATTGACATATTTCATTATTTGATATCCAAAAATCACATTTGTTAATATTACCACCAATCTCATCAAAAGAGCAGTAGGGGAGTTCCAGCAAAATGGCGCTCTAGGCAGAAGCATCACGCCGTCCCTCCACAGCAAAGATCCAAAAAACTAAGCCAAACAGAGAATACAACAATCCTGAAACATTAAAACATCAAATGAAGAGATAAAGAACTCAGCCAAGCACCAAATGGAGTGAGAACACTGACAGAGAAAGGAGAGCGAGGAGAGAATCATGCAGAGGTCCCCTACCAGCTAACGCAGCATGGATCCACCATCTTGGACTCCTATCGGAGACCAGCAGACGGGGGTGCGAGAAAGCAGCCTCACGGAGCGTCCAGTGGGAGACAGAACAACCAGTAATTTGCTGTGTGTGCTTTTCCACCCCCCACACCTCTTCGCCCCGGCTCGGCCTTCTCTGCTTCCCGCGGCCATGGTCTCTTGACCAGGAAGCGCCAGCTGCTTGGATTCCACACACCCAAGCGGGCGGCTCTCTGGGTGCCATTTGTTGGCTGCTAGTGTTGCTTTTTTTTCCTGCTTCTTTTGATTTCTCACTTGCCTCTCGCCACCTCCCCCTGCTTTCACTCGAGTGCCTGGCTCCGTGCGCCATCTTTGCTTCTTCCTGAGGAGCTCCAGAGCTCAGGCAATTCGTGATATACGCTTTCCCACTCTCTACCCTTCTTCACCCACACTCGGCCTCCTCTGCTTCCCGTGGACACAGTCTCTTGTTCAGAAACACCAGCCTGCACTAGCTGGCTCTCTGATTGCCATTTGTTGGCTGCTGGTGTTGCTTTTTTTTTTTTCTTTTTTTTCCTGCTTCTTTGGATTTCATGCTTCTCTCTCGCCGCCTCCCCCTCCTTTCGCTCGAGTGCCTGGCTCTGTGTGCCATCTTTCCTTCCTCCTGAGGGGCTGCGGAGCTCCATTCGAGTGTGGAGCTGCTACCCGGTCTGGGCCACTGTGCTGGTGGGATCCCAGGGCTTTTGTTCGTTTGTTCGTTTTGAATAGTTTGTTTGTTTTCTTTTCCTTTTCTTGAATTGGGAGCCCTTTCTGGCCAGGCAAAACTGCGTGGCAAGGAACTCCCCTTCAGCTTTCACAGACATGCAGAGGGATCCCTGAGGGCATTTCTTTTATCATTGGTGTTGTTTTTTTTTTTTTCTGCTTTTTTGGGGGGCCTTTCTTGTTCTTTTTTTTTTTAATTTTTAATTTGTTTTGTTTTCTTTTCCCTCTTTTTCCCTTTTTGTCTTTCTTCATTGCCCAGTTTCTTGTCTCTCAATATCTTCCTTCTCTTTCTGATCCCTGAATACCAGGCGTTGTATACCTCTACGCCTTCTAGCCAGGCTGTACTGCAGCACCTGAGAGCGACTTCCCCAGACCTCATAGCTGCACCGGTGGGATCCCTGGGAACTTTGCAATTCTTTAACCTTTCTGATTTTTATTTATTCATTCTTTTCTTTTCGTCCTCTTCCCCTTTCTGTTTTTCTCCATTTCATAGTCTCTCAT